ATTTTCGGCCACAAATCCGAACGTCGGAATCATTGACTTGGGATATACAACGTCATTCAGCAAGCATGTTTGTTGATGTCTAACGAAGACAAGTATCACTTTATATGCAAGGTAAACAAAATCCATAGAGAATATGGGTTACATACACTCTTCTTATTCGACCGTATCAAAATTATGTTTCGTGCTCGATTTTATTTTTCTTTATTGTTTCATCATTATGATTAAACGTACATTTATCCTACTGAACATAATAGTATGATATTAAAAAAAACTTTCAATCAAATAATTATAAGTTCATATAATCCACTAACTCTTAGTTTTTGTGAAACTATAAATGAAAAAAAAATTAAGAAATTATGATATTATTCAACAAATTTCAACTCGAAATAATTAAGTCATATCATTCAAAACCCATGTCCAGTGTGTGTAAAATAAGCATACATAAACAGAAGATATACTTTAAAATTGTGCACATCATTTTCATGTGAAATTTTTGCTTCTTTTTTTTTTTGTTTTCATTATGTCGTCAAATTTTACTTAAAAAAATGTTTTTTTTTTAACAAGAATAATATTAATTGTAAAATATTTATTAATTGTTACTTTAAATTGAAATCATCTCCATAACAAACGAATACAATCTTTTGAATAATAAAGACCAAGTTGTATTTGCCATGGAAATGGACATAAAATAGTATCAATAGTTAATTCATGCGTATAATGTGTACGTTCATTTGTTAAACGAATCATATGTTGATTACAATCAATAAATAATTCAATTATATCATTTTTTTCTATATCACTTTTATATCCATTAAAATCCGAATATAATTTACCATTTAAACATACAAAATTATTAGCAATCCAACCAAAAGATGTTGGAATATTGTATGCTGTTGCTTGTATTGGTGCATTTTTTGAAACGATTCCAATCAAATTCCATTTATGTGAACTCGTATGTTCAATTTTAAAACGAAATCGATGTTTTCCTGTTGAATATTCACCTTTACTACGAACGGTTCCATAACCATTTGATCCAGTATTAACAATAAGTTTACCTTCATCTTTAATAGAAATTCTTCCTGTTGATTTGTCAAAGATTTCACTAACACTTATTATAATCTTAGAAATAAATGGAACATCAGTTCCACCTTTTCGAATATTAATTGTTGGTGGTTTATCTAATTCTTTTTTTATTTTAATAAATGTATCCATCCATCGTCTTAGATCTGTTTCAAAAAAATTATCTTCATTTTGAGCTTTTGTTAATTCTTCTGTTAAATTTTTCATTGTTGTTATTGCATTAGAAGCAAAATGTCCAAATGCATTTAATATTTGTTTTCGAGCATCTATAGCTACTTGTTGAATCTTTTCAATTGATTGTTTTTCCCATTCATTGATTTGTTTCATTAATGGATGACTATTTGATTCTTCAGTATATTTTATAATTGTCTGTTTACATTGACCATGTTCAAAAATAATTTTATCTAATAAATTTGATAATTCTAATCGATGTTGTTCTACATGTTCCGTACAAAAAACTCTTTGACATCCAACACAAATAGATAGACTTGGTACCTTACCACATATACTACATAATGATCTGTTCACTTTTACGGATGCCATGTGTACATATGTTTGTAGAAAAATGTTTCAATGAGAACAAAATAAAAGAAAAAAAGATTCAAGTACTATATGATTAAAAGTGAAACATGTTTTTTTTCTATCGAAGGCCGGCAAACGATGACATTATGTTAGTTGTGTAAGTGTACATAGTGCAAAAATAGAATTGACATTTAAAAATCTAATTCAATAAAATAGAGAACATAGTGGAAAAAAATGATGGTCGTTTGCTAGTGAAATAAACAGCTCGTAAAATAGAATGACGAAATATAATAAAACTAAATGAAGCAATACATCATTTGATAGTATTTTAGATCGTTCTGGATATATGCGAGATGCTACTGAAATTTATCTGGATGTATCTATTGATACTATACAATAGATTTTAATTGTATGAAAAGAAGATCATAAAAATTTTAGCTCTACATATCGAGTCTACCAAGAGTTAGTTTAAGACTAACTTGTGATGCTAGAAATCTCGAATTGGTTTTAAAATGTAGCCAAGATCTGCCAATGCAATTTAACAGATTCTGGTTTTTAATTTGTTTGTGGTTCGTATGTTTTGAAACAGCTTTTCTAAAACATACGGATTCAACTTTCAGAACAATAGACCTTTGGTAGATATTTAAGGAGAAATCGAAAGATCTAGTTCTGTTAATTTTTAAAGCCTATTTGTTCATTTATTTTGATACCAAGCTCAACTTTCTAGCATTTTCAATGGCAGAGAAATCTTGGACGCATGGAAACACCAAAGTGAAAAACTTCGTTGTTAGAAAACCACAAAATAAGTTGTAGCACTGTATTTCAAGACTTTTTTCTTCATAAATTGGTATAAAAACAATTTTCAAGCAATTTTTTCTAAGACCTCGAGGGTATGAATGTAAATGAACAGAGGACCCATATTCACACCGATCTGTATACACTTCGTCGAAAGTCAAATAGTGGAAACTTGATGATGTAGCTTTCGGCAATCTACTGTTGCCAACATATTACTCTGGGCTATGCGGATGCTGGCAGTACCTGTTTTCGGTGATCTTCATTTTGATGACTAAAACTATCGGCGACAATCTAAGATGGTACCTGCAATATTAGAAGTGTTCTCATATTATATGTATTAATATTAATTTACTTGATGGTAATCATAAGTGGTACTATTTAGCAACTTAGTTCTTAACTTAACTCAAGAACTTCTTTTGTAACTCAACTTCGTAGCTAAGTTATCTCATTTTATCTTCCAATACCAATAAAAAATTCACTACATAAAAAAATTGTTGAAAAACCCAAAATACAGAAAAACATAACAAAAAAATATAGTTCATTAAAACCGATGCTAACTCACTTAGTTACTAAGACAAGACTAGGACACAGTCTATAGTGCAGACATGATAGTTGAATAGTCGTTCTCTCGGTATATATTACTATATATATTGTATCCAAAAACTGAACGAAAAGGTTAGTCGTTGAAAGGAATATTACCAATAAGGAAAATTGTCGAAACGAAGTTCGAAGATCTCTATTTCGACGATATTCATTTGGTAATCTTTCTTCTGAAGAATTTAAGATTTATCCGGTGACTGAAGACTACAGGTTTTGAATTTCGAGAAGAGGACATTGAAAATGGCTTACATAGTCGTCTAATTGTTATTTGTATAAAGAAAAAGAGCCACCCATACATAAGATATTTCATTGATTTCTATGATAGTTTGACTTCGTTTTTCGGAAATCAGAAATAACGCATCATTTTTTCTTGTATATTTTCGGTTACGAGTCTATATGGTTTTATATTCTAAAATTTTCGCTCAAAGCAATCCATGAGACAAAAGTTTGATATTTTGTAGTGATCAACAATAGAAAAAGAAATTGTTTGAATTTTGATAGTCTGTGCTAGTGTGAATCTGAATATGACAAATCGGAGAGAACTGACCGGTATATCAGCCTACTGACAAACCGGCCAATCTGGAATTCGATTCCACAAATGATGCTC